AAGTGGCATGTCCAATTAATTCATGTCCAGCAGCGTGACCTTACACCTTGCGGGTGAAAAGTGTCAGTTTTATGGAACGTGTTGGCTTGAAATCGACGAACCGAGAATTTCATGACCTACTGTGTTTGCCAACCTACCGGCTCCGTTACTATTTACTGATAAACGTTTGTCCATGGTTAGTGACGCTTTCGAGGAATGCTCTTTCAAGAAACGAGGTCAGCCGTTGTTCGCTTCCATGATCCTCCACCTGCCCTGCCCTTGCTGTCGGCCACATTGAGGGGTTTTATTGTGGCACATGGCTTTGGGGGGTTATTGAGGATGCTCGATGTACCAATTTAGACAGAATGTCAAACCGCTAGTGGGGTGTTTTCCATAGCATTACTTTTCTGGCTTCCTGGGAGCTCTCATTCAACGAGAACACAGTTAATGAGAAAGAAACGAGTTATTTGGGGCTATCTCAGATGATTCGGAATCATGATCGCTATCAAACCTGAATGGAACAATAGTGTAATCAAGGTGGTTACTATGAACACCGCTCTGTTGCTGAGATGAACGGTGGTTCTTGTCAACCTTTTCTGGTTGCTTTTCGATGGTTCCAGCTGAATCGCTCGGTGGGTAGGAAATGCTGTGACCACCATTTGTTTCAGTCAAGGGAGATCAACATTAGATCCCACCAATGCTGGTTAACTTTGCTTGGCTCAGCTGACTCCACTCTTTCGATTATCGACCCAATGGATCATGTGATCTGACGTGGGTTAGTTTACATATGTGGTATACGTGTAGTGTTTCTTCGCGTGAGGCTGGACTTACTAAATGTGGAAAAGACTCCGTCCTGCGTGGACTGTCTTACCAAGGAGCCTTACTACATATTCTGTTACTATGAATGGGTTACTAAGCAAAAAACGGGATATTGGTTTCAAAAACGTTTGTAAATTAATCGCTGAGTCTCTATCGACGGGCAACATTTTGCTTTAGACGAATGCTTGTCTATTTGGAGTGAGTGGGTCGCATGACTTATCAACTAAGAAGAAACGTACAAAAATTTAGATAGGTTTTGTGGTCCGCTTCACAGGTTCTATAGAAGTTCTCCAGATTGGGTTGGTACACAGATAAGGTTCAACTAACTTCTGGTGATGTCTAACTACCTCATGCCATTACCTGAAAACTCTTCAGTCCATCGACCGCCCTCCATACATTTGGGGGCAGTGTGCCATTTATTGTACTCACACTAGGAGTCCCGACGATTTCCATCGTCTTAGCTATCAGTTACTATTGTATGAATCATAGTCACCGTCTTGAAAATTCCACATTTTCCAAATATTTTCTACTCCCAGTTTTCAGCGCACGTCCCTCACCGTCTGATATTACTCCGTCTTTCTTGCTATTTGTTCTCTTGTGCTCACCAATCTCGATGTTTAACTCTCAATCTATCATATTTTAATGCATTTATTACATTCAATATTTAGCCCTTTAAATAGGGTGAAGGTCGTTCAACTGGCGTTGTCCTAGGTGCTGGGGTTTTTATCTCTTGGAGATGATTCTAAATTCAACTGCACTTATTGCTCTGTGAATAACTTCACCTGAGCCTTTTTTGTTTGGCTCGTAAGTACTTAACCCAAGCGCGTTTACATGACAATACAATAAAGCATGTTGCAACTGGTAACGCCTTGCTGATAAGGCTAGAAATTTGTTTTGTCTTATACAATCACAAAGCAAATGGATCGATTTTCGAAACGTATCTGCATCCACCTGCTGGCACATCTGCGTAAGCAGGACCAGACTTGCGGGTCAACAGTATCCTCACATCAGTCGTATCAGTCGCGATTCCTCTACGGGGTAGTTGAGATAAACGTAAAAAAAATTTGTAACATCCAAACTAGGGTAGCTCTCGGGATGCACAACTTTGCTAGTTTGACCACCAGCGTTATTCCATCGAGATTTCATCGAGATCAAAAGCTCACAGACAGTACCAAATCCTACTTCGCCCTAACCAAATCTGCCACCTGTGTTTGTCGCCAAGAAGCGAAAGGAATGTTCGATGCATTCATTCGACTAGGTATGTCAGTTCACTTAACTAATGCGAACCTTCATAAAATTTCCTCAGACCATCGAATAAAATCGTCTGAAACAAGCGAACCGAAAATTTCTTCCGTTCTGCATTCGAATACTGAGCACTTCCTTCTGTACTTGCACTGGGTAGGTGGCAAGTGGACTTCTCAAATCGCATATATTGTCATCATTGAGCATCACTTTCCACCCTTCAGCGTCTACTTGTCCACTGCACTTCACAAGGGACAAATTCATTTCATGGTTACGACCCTCAGGACTTCAGTTTAATGGTAACATAGAGAGTTTGCGCTGAGCCTTCGGACTGGCTGGAAAGCGATTCGTGTTTATGAGTAAATTTCGTTGCGACGCATCTGGTGTGAGCATCATGTAATGTCCGGACGATAACAAGAATGGGAATACTGTAGTCCAGTGACTCAAGCGCACAAAATTTGTGCTCCCATCAGGAGCAATGCTCATCAATGATTAATAATCATGAATCTCACTGACTGCGCACGCTGAGTACAGTTCAAATGCAGTTATTGATTGGATCAATCAAACGGTTCAGTGGGCGTTGCGCAGTTCCCAGTATGTTTGTGTGGGCAGACAAGGCTTCGGCGAGTGATGTTTTGGAAACTTGGATGCCGAAATAAATGCTCAACCAAACAACTCTGTCATGTGCTTCCCAAGGCCTCAGCATTGCACTAAAAGTCCAGAAAAGTGCTCGTTTGTCACGGACCGCATCTCACCAGTAGTTGTTCTGAACCATGCGCACTCTCGTTACTATTGGAGCCGCACTAACTACGAACGCTCTACCGGACACAATCACTTCCTTTCCTTGATTGTTGAGTACCAGTACTACCTCATTTTGGTGTGCCGTAACAGGGACAAGAATTTCTTCCACTTTTAGCGTCGTCTGAGATGTGAGCTGCGGCTATCACCGCAAACATACGCAGACGAATCGACCGTTTCGCCCCCGTTTGGTCATCCTTCTAAGGAGCATAGTGATCGAGTGCTCTCCAGATCCGTAGTTTCCATTCTATCCAGAACACAGACGCTGTCGCTCAGGCGAGTTTCAGAAGCCCTCGCTACCGTGTGTTTTTTTGAAGTACACTCATCTCTTTTTTGGACTCGTTAGAATGTGCGCACAAAACCGCATTTCAGTGCAAGCAGCAATGGGTTTTATCGTCCGCTCATCGTTTGATTTTCGGACTATTCAGAGGGGCACACGCCACGTCTGGTTTAAGCACACCCGCGATTTTTCTCATGAAAAAGAGGGAGATATTCGGGAATGGTGGTAAATAATTGGTGGCAACTCGATCGTGGAAAGACATCTGACGAGAAATCTGGTTGCACATGCATAACCTGTTTTTCACAGACACAAGAACGCACTGCGAACTATATTTTTGAGGAAGAATATGCGATCAGAATTTACAGTGAATTCATTGTTTGCTTTGGTAAAGTTGACTTCTCATCTAGTACGATGTGGGCTGGAACGAATTGACAGCTTTATGTCCTTACGCCACTAAACGCGCACAGCCTGGCACCACTTTCCGTTCAGTCAGACCAGTTTTCTGGTTCCGATTCAAACTGTACAATCTTCACTCTTCATGGGTCTTCTGACGGCCTGAAATGTCCTCACACCTAATTGGGATTTCTGATAGGCAGAGCAGCACCCAAGGACGCTCCAGAAGTACAAGCCACCCTAAAAGTGTACCATTGGGAATGACGGCAGCATACCGATAGGATATTTACTCACTTCGTTCGGCCCATGTTCTGGGACTACCCAAGGCTTCCTCCCAGCCGGTTATAAGAACACCAAAATTTTAGCATCGATGAATTCCCGTCGGTCTCCAAAGTTCTCGATTGAAAGGTCTGGGAATTCTCTATCCAACGACAAAGCATAAACGTTTCAAAATGAGAAATCACTGAGTTCTTCAAAAGTATCAGCACTGAATAGAAGCTTGGGGTCCAAGATTAATGTGAGATAGGTCGGAATGACAAATCTCGTTTTTCTGTGGTTGTTGACAGTCCGCCATTTGGTTTCCTCGCATCATGACATGTTGGGTAAATCATTTCATGGGGGTGTGTGGTTGTATGATGCGGACAAGTGGGGTGACCATATATCACATAAGCGTCTTGTAATGTCGCACGAAACTTTGATGGGAAGGAAACTTTGTTTCGACGCGCGTACAACCTCAAAAGACCCACCTCTAAGGCAGTTCCGTACCAGTTGGAGGCTTATCTGTGGCAGAGTACAACAGAGGAGTGAGTCATAAACAGACTTTTTTCAAAATGTACGTTAATGGAGAAACCAGCCGAAAATACCTGTTTAAGTCCTTTGTAAGCCTTCCAAGTAAAAATGTATAGAACAAAAGGGTTAATGAAATGAATGCGCAATCGTGAATAAACGGAGGGAGAAAAGTCCCATGCTTTGAAAGAGGTCAGTGTAAGATGGAGGGCGCGCACACACATAGATACGTAGATATGTATGAGTACTATTCAAGAGTGTTCGCTCAGCGGGTAAACAGAGTGCTCTGGAAGGATTTCAGGGGCTTAAAAATACCCATAAAGTGTTTTGAAGGAAGCTTTTGAAGACATTATTGTCACTCCGCATCCGTTTTTATAACTTTGGGTCATTTTCATTTAAGCACAGTCTAAAATAAAACGAAGTCGCTCTAAGAATGCATGAAATGCCACCAGTTTCATGGAACTTTCTTTGTTACAGGTACCTTTCCGCAAAAGTGTCGGTTAGGGGTGGAAAATGGAGCGCGACATTGAGGAATACGCACCAGGATTATGCCCGGACATTCCAAGATGGGCTGATAGAACAGAAGCTAAATTTACCCTAGGGAAACTGGGAACAAGTTCACTCACAAAGTGATTTAATTTGAGTGACTGATGTTTGAAAGTAGCAAGGACAAACTTGTGGAGGATGTTGAATATCGCTCGTGTCAGAGATGATCCCAAGCTATGGGTTTCCGTGCGTAATAGTCCTGGTCGAATGTTGGATGTGGCGCTTGGTGTGAGGACTCATAGGAACACTTGAGTGCCAACCACAGTTCCATCGCCGCGTAAGCAGTTGGCTCAACCTGCGGTATGAATTTGTTTGCGAAAAACGCTGGACTCTGGAACAGATAGGGCAGGTCGAGAGTGCCCAACATACAAATATGCCGAACA